CTAGATCCAAACATTTCTACCTAATGGGAAAATTGAGCTCCAGATATCTGTTCAGCAATGCAAACTCCTATTTAGTTTCTAGTGATACAGAGTTTCTATTTGAATTTTAGTGAATAGGTGGAAATAGAAATAATCTTTCTTCATTTCTTCTTAAGGTTGCGCAGATACAGAGTCCTAGGCAGTAGCAGCTCGGACTCAGATCTTATCTCTCGTCTGGCTCAAATCCTACAGAATGGATCTCAAAGACCAAGGAGTTCTACCCAGTGTAAGAGTCCGGGATCTCCACATAGTCCAAAAACACCACCCAAGAGCCCAGTCATCCCCCGCCGCAGTCCCAGTGCCTCCCCTAGGAGCTCTTCTTTACCCCGTACTGCCAGTTCTTCTCCATCCCGGGCTGGGAGATCCCATCATGATCAGAGGAGTTCATCCCCACATTTTGGGAGGAGTAAATCACCTCCTAGCCATTCAGGCTCCTCATCTTCTAGGAGGTCCTGCCAACAAGAGCACTGCTGCAACAAAACAAGCAAGAATGGTCTGAAAGGATCTGGCAGTTCTTTCCACCATTCCTCAAACACTAAGACTTCTACAGGAAAGAGCAAATCAACTACTAAGCTTAGCAGATAGGAATTGGGCCTTGACAGGTATAAAGTCTCCTCCTAAATCTGATGCATGTTGTGTCTGTGTACTGTGTATTTAAAAAAATAATCAAAAAAGTATATTAAAAAAAGGTGTTGAATCTGCACATTTTAAAGAAAGTAGCCATTGTAAACTATTCATGAGAAAGCATTCTGTGTAAATAAGTGGCCAGGCTTTGCCTTAGAGCAGGCAGCAAGCAGATCCAAAAGATGAGAAGTAGAGGCCAGGATAAAAATGACTGGGTAGTCAAAGAGGTGCAATGTATTTAGAGTGAGAAAATATCTTGAAGGTGAGTGTTTTAAAACGGTATTAATCTTGATGTGTTTAGTTTCCCTAGTTAGAAGATTTGGCCTAATTATTTAAGGCCCTGCATACTCAAGGAGTATGTAAGAAACAGTTATTCCCAAAATGACGTCACCACTTGGGAGATAAGTGCTGCTCAAGCATTTATTTGGAGTTTTAAAAAAGCACACAGTTTAGAAGATGATAGTTCTACCTTATAAATTTCTTTGATTTTGAGCTGCACTCACCTCTGAGTCACTGAGTGCTCATTTTGTCCTCTATCAAGGCACAGATTTTTTACCTAAGTATCATATACCTTACCCCTTCTTGATACTGATGAAATTAAAGAAATGAACAATTGACAAGATGTTTTTGTACCAAAACTATTTAGAAATTTGTTTAGCAGTAATTAGGATCCAAGAAGCTGATTCTCAGTTCTCTATCATACAGTGTATTGGGAGTCATAGTGGGGTTCTTCAAACCACATTTGGTAGGATTAGGAAAAGCATTCCTTCCTAGGAAATGAGAGAAAGGAGTAGATGTATGCACTTCACTGGATGTTGCAGATTTACAGTAAAATGCAGTAAGAACCTTTGTTGTTGCTGACTTTTGTTTTTCCATTAGTTATGGATCACTTGAACCCCAGATCTTACAATGCAGAGATGATTACCAATCAAGATTTGGTTTTTTGGTCGTTTGTTTTCTAAAATCATGAAAGATGAAACAGAGATGAGGAGATTGTCTAGTTTGTGAGCTTTATAGGTTAGGGGTGATGGAAACATGCTTAAAACCCTTACAAAATCCGGGTAGGAATATTAATCATGAAAGCAAAATATATGGAAAGAAATCTGAAATATTTTTTATATTGGATTCTTGTCATTCTGCTTCCTAAATGCGTTTTTGATAGCCAAGCTTTGTTGACTCTCAGTAAAGTCCATGGTGTTTAATTCCTCCAACTTTGTTAGGCGGTTACTTAGTAACATCTTGTGCTCTGCAGGAACTCTGTAGGGAATGAAAGTTGTGGCACCTTTTGCTATATTCAGAAAAGTGTAGTGGGTCAGAACAGGGACACGCAAGAACACAAGGCCGGGAAAGATGCAGCCGGCTCTCCTCCCTAATGATTCCTGCTGTGGGGACTCTGGATGCGTAGGACACTTGTCAGTTACTGATCTGCTTGCTGTAGTCATATGCCTCTCCAGCCAGCATCTGTGCTTTTTTATTTAACCTCTGCCAAATGAATACCTTTGGATTAAAAAGGGAATATTTTGTCTCTGAGCTAACACATTCTAATGCTGCATTAAAGCTGCCCTAGAGCTGCACTGAATTTCACTTGCTTTGTCAGACTATGTTGTTTTTTTTCTTTTCTTACTATGACTATGTATATTGTTTCCCATATGTAATGTAGCACAGTGTGGAACCTTAATTTCATTCAGGTTTCAAGCACTACAGATGAATGCAATAGGTAGGGTATACCTGCTTTTTCTGAAGAAACTGTACCATTGGAAAGTCCTATTCCTTTGTATTATATTGTATAATAGGTGCTATACCAATAATTGCATGTCCTCATGGTAAATTATATAAATATTTATATATACATATATGTATATGCTTATATAAACTCATTCTTTCTCATTTTTCATTTGTAATTTATGGACCACAAATAATATAGTTCCCATTCTGTTAGTTCCCGTATACTTACCTCTTCTATTCGCCCCTGCACCCCTGGCAAAAAAAATCTGGAATGCACAAATTCTAATAGCCTTTATACCTTGGTACAAAATTGAAGGACTGCTGATTTCTCAACCAGCCAATGTTTTGTCTTGCAGCTTGTTTTTTTTTTTTTAATTTCTAATTTCATGTGTACATTTGCATATGGAACAAGAACAAAGACTCAAAAGGTATTTTTATTTTTTACTACAAATAGGTTTTACTCATTTTTATTTCATATGTGAGTTCTTAATTGTGAATTGTCATATAAGAACAGTGACAGTCTATGAATACCTAATGGATGAATGTGACAACAACGAATTCCATCTTTTCTTTCCTGTTTTCTACATGTTTCTGTATGGTATACCATAAAAAAAAAATTGGTTACATTGTGATGTTTTTGTCCTGGGCACTTGCTGGAATTATTTGTTAAGGTGGTGTGGCAGCCCATGATTATTTTTCCTTATTTCTGGAAAGCATTTATTATCATCATGTAAGTTTATTCCTACATTATGTTGTCAGTTTTCATAAGTACTAACTTTATGCATCCTTGCCTGAAAATGCTGAAGTTGAGGTGTTTAAATTTTCTCTCTAGTGTAACAGGATCCAGAAATGGTAACTGCTTTACAGGTGAGAGAGCATAAACACCTATTTTTTGTTGTCTTCTAAGTACAGGCTTGTCCATTGTTAGACATTACTATGTAAAATAAACCAATGCTGTAGAAATTCACTTGTACTTGAACTACTTGCCAATGTAAAAATAGTAACCTATGCCAAAAAGAAAAAGAGAAATCAATTGTGATTGATGACACAGGCTTCTTTTGGTGATGAAAAAGTTAAAAGGACTGTATACTCCCAGTTGCTTTTTTGCTGTGGATTCAAAAGAATCTAAGGAGAAAATCATGAAGATGTGAATGGAAGAGCAATTGTGAGTAACTTAGCTTGAAGCACCTGCTCTTCTTAAGTTTTTTGTTGCTTGATACCCTCCTCCCAAAAGTTTACAGAATTGCTTACTATAGTCTAACATAGCAATCAGTTAATGTTATTAAGTAATGGTCAGCTGATCAACTCATACATAAATATTAGCTTAATATTTCTAGAGGGCCTATATAATCATTAAGGACGTTGTAAGCTTCAGTGGTTTGAATGTGGAACTGGCTCTGCAGAAAACCACCAATGTACATGTGTGTGGCCCTTGTGCAGAGTGTGTGTAAATTGTTTATGGCAGGTTATCTGCAACACATTTTCAGGGACGGGGAAGATTTTCTCCATTGTACAAAATGGCTACAGTTACTCTGCATAGCACTCAGCAGCTTATATAGGAATATTAGCTGGGAAATAATAAAATTCAAGGAGCTGTTGCTTTGTCTTCTTCAAGCCTCCATTTCTTTGGAGGGCAGTACAATGGAGCCATGACATGTAGCAGGTGCAGATGCTGCACACTCATTTCCTCTTTATGGTGTATTCTGTGTTGTGGCCAGCACTTTGGAGCATTTTTTAGAGAAACTGAGGCATGAAGCCTTTAAACTAAAATAGAACTTGAAATCACCAAACATTTCACACAGACTTTTGTGCTACAATATTGCATGGTAAAATCAATCTAAGTTTCAATCTCAAAAATCAATATTAATTAACCTCTTTATTAATTACAAATGCCAATTACTACTTAGGTAAAACCCTGATAGAGTAATAGAAAGTATGATACAGTAGAGCAATGCTGGCAAATTGTATGATAATACTGCTTGAGCAGGATCGATAAGTGTAGAGAATTTCACTGCTCAAAGGCAGGAGCAAGATGAGATCGTAACTGCTAGTTATACATAATTATACAGGAGGCAAACCCCTGCAGAGTGACACAAGGCATTAATTACAGCCACCAGCCACACCCTGTCTTGGGAAATCTGGGCATATTCTTACCTTGAAGTCTGCATGTTTGAGATCAAGCTTTTTTGCTTACCTCACTAAACAGTCTTGATGTATAAGAGAGGATTTGGTCCTATATATTTAAAAATAGCTTGAAATATTTTTCATCTGAAAAAGACTTGCTGGAGCTCTATCATCTACGATTTGTAGTATTATGGTATTAACTATTGCTGGCAAGACACACAATTTTGATTTTATATATATATATAAATACACATTTGTACATAAGTGTATCTACATATACACTTATATAGATACTGTATATTATATAGAAATATATATATACATACATATATATGTGTGTATATACATATAGATAGGAAGAGTCTCTGCTATTCCATCCTGTTCACTGGAATTCATTTGCCAGAGTGAGCCAAGACCTGTTTTGCTTTTACTCTGGTCTCCTTTTCATCTACTGCAATGTCCCTATGCCCTAATTCAGATTCTGTGTCTTTTTCATATTACAAGGCCTGATCCTATAGTCCTACTTGGGCAAAACTCCTATAAGTCCTTCTTATTGCAGTAACATTTATGCAATGGTTGACTGTAATGCTTCTAAATATTTTTTTTCTTTTTCTCTTTGATGAGAATGTAGATAAAGCCAGATTTACAGTACTGTCTATTTCCTGTAAACAGAACTTTTCCGTAATGAATTGAACATTTTTATGGAACACTAAGACGCGTAAATTCTGGTAAGAAGAATGTGATTATTCCAATTTCTTAAAAGGGCCTAATGGAAAACAAATTATATGTGCCTCCAATTTTTATATATATCTTAAATGAGAGAGTAGTCTTCTGAAAAGGAATAGGAAAATGAAAGAGAGCTCAGAGTTAAAGTCTTTCTCATTATAAGGCCTATAATATGTGGATTTTTTCATGCAGGACTGATGTTGTGAGGTGACAAGAGCCATGTCTGTCTTGTCATTTTAGTGAGTCAGGGTCTGCTTAGGTAAACACCAAGATTCCTGTGGTGCGTTCTCTGTATGCTTTCCCACTTTTGGGAATGGTCAGAGAACTGTTGGCTGGATAAAGGCCTTGATGTTTATCCATGATTCCTCTCTTCAACTGGTAAAAGCTTTGGGTATTCGTTGGATGGTGAGCATGGCAATGCTAGGTTAGCAGTTGAACTTGGATCTTGGGGGTGTTTTCCAACCTTGATGATTCTATGATTCCTCTTTCTGAAATTTATAGAAAAGGACATAATATTTTTATTCAACTCCTTTTAGCTAATCAAGTAGGCAGTGAACTGATGGGGTTTCTTTGCTGTTTCGCTTTTGGCTCAAATGTCTTTGGTTGTAATCAGTACAATTTTTGGTTACCAGGAGTGCTGGTAAAAGGGAGTGAGGTTCAATGTTTTGACTACATGCAATACACTGGCATAGGTCATGCATTTCTTAGCTAATCAAATTGCATAAACATGCACCTCATATAAGAATACCTCACCTGTCTGCTTGAAGCCAGTCTTCCCTACACATAATATTTGTGAAAGAGAAATTACATAAAGTCAGCCTGGATTATATAATAATTGTCAGGAATTATCTTAAGATACCGTCAAATGCCAAAAAGTTTTTATCACTTGTTTTCCTGTGGTTTAAATAATCAGGCTTTTAAATATGTGTCTTTCAAGAGGGCTTTTTGCTTGGTTGGGTTTTCTAAGTAAAAATGTACAGGAGTCCATTGTTTCAAAGACTGATGTATTAACTTTGCAATGACTCTTGCCATACAGGTTTGCAAAGGTAGGCTGATTTTACTCTCCACTGATGATAATACATTCTTTCTCAAGCTTTGGCCAAGAGTATAATGTGGTTTCTTTCAAAACAACACCACAAGTGGGCTAATCATGTAAGGTCCTGATCATCCACATGTGTCTGTAGGAATTCAGCTGGAATAAATTTGATGTTTGTTTTGAGATCACTTGACCTTTGACCTTTTATGTAAAGGGCCTATGGTAACAGCAGAACAGCTTGCTCCAAGAGATGCAGTGTAATTAGTTTGGTCTGCCTGGCTTCAGATCCTTTTAAAACCATTATCCGCTGCATGGCAGGCAACGTCATACAGGTTGGACACAAAGTGGAGTAGGATTTTTGGATTTTTTTGGCAATTTCACATCTGTTTCCTCTGACTGGAGATCTGGATTTGTTGCCAAGCAGCATTCTCTGCATCCTTTTTACTTTCATTGCATAGAAAGCAAGATTGGAAATTCTTCCCAAACTTTTAACTTTCTTTCTCTAGAGTCAGCCCAGACTCAAGTTGAGTGCTTGTGCTAAGAGATGCCAGTTTTCAAATGCGTTCCTATGAATATCCAAACTAGTAAATTAAGGAAATCACCAGCAATGCCTTCAGACAAGTACTGACTTTTTGAAGTGGCCAATCAATGGCTGCTAATCTAAAATCTCTGGGAAATACCACAAAGAATGAAATTGTGAATTAATTAAAAATACATTGCTGTCACCCCATAAGAAATCAAGTACTCAATAGTAAAGCTGCAGCATGATTAAATTAAGTGGAAAGTAGTTCCAAGATTGTTTTTTACCATTGAGGAAGACAAATGTTGAGTCCTTCAAATTCTCTTGCTCAGTAATTGCAGTTCTCTTCCCCTCCTTGGAAATCTTCTAAGCCATTCTTTTCATTTAAGTTTGCTCAGGCACTCAAGAGCATAAAGAGTTAATGCCCTTGTAATGGTCATTTGTACATAAAGTTGTAATTATTTATTTTCTCATTTGTACCATATCAAGGCTTTGTACAATGTTTAAGTTTTGTTTTCAAATTATTTTGTATTTTATTTTTATAAACTGGTTCTAAATAAAATATTCATTCAGCATGCAAAACTTCAATTCTTGATTGTGTTTGAATAATGATTCATTAACTTATAAAGCTTTGGCTGAAATGTTTTTCAGTGTTCTTTACTATTGTAACCCTGTAATTTAAATGGATAAAGTGCTTTGGCATTGATTATTTTTTTCTCTGTTTCAAGAAAGTAAAAAGCAAGCATGTATTGGTACTACTGCAACATGGATCACATGTCCATATTGCAAATTGAAGTGATTGAGTCAATGGAAGTTAAACTGATTTAGTAGGTTCACGTGTTGTATATTAATAACAGAAAAATCCAAATGGGCCCCCTCAGAAAACTTTCAATTTGTTCTTACCCCTTCTGTCTGTATTCATCTAAACAATAAATGATTGGCACAGCAGATCAGGTCAATTTAAGTAACAATATGGTGGTCCTGAAAAGCCAGCTGCTGACAGCATTTTTCCCTTCAAATCTGTAGTTTTTTATTTAGTCAGAGGTCACTATTATAATTGGCCTCTTTTGGGGATAATCAGCTGTCTGGATGTAGTCACTGAGCTTTTACAGTGTCTTGAGGAGACTTGTCTCCCTCTGTGCAATAACTTAAGCAGCAAATAGCAGAGAAATGAATGAATGGAAGTTGTTACTGAATCTGAGTGCTCTAGGGAAAATGCAGTGTGAGGATACAATGTTAGTGTTGCTCTAGTTTCTTCCAAGACCCTTTTACTTCTCTTTCTAGTAACACTAAGCATAAGTAGAGTGTAAAAATCATCACAATTTATATTTGTGGTTTGTGTGCCTGAATATCTTAGTCTTATGCTACCAGAAAACAGTCTGCACTTTGCACAGTGGGACAAGTTTTTTAGGGAAGTCCAGAAGATTCCAGAAAATTACCTGGATTTTTTTTTCAGTATTACCTCTGTTATGCCATCCATTCAGGCAAATTTAAAGCCAGCTCTGCCTCTGTTCAAATCATTGGCAGTATTTTCAGTAAGCTTTATGACCAGGTCATTAGTTCTTGCCATTAATACAAATAGCCTAGGCAGCTTCACAGGAGAGGAAACAAATTGGGAATTCATTTACTCAGTAACAGTCCAAGAAAATTATGTTTCACTTTCTGGTCAGAGGAGCCAGAAACTTAATGGAATGGCTTCTGGATGGTGCATGTGATTTAAGTGCTCCCAATACAACCATCATTTGATGACAGAAAGGGTGTGTAAAGAAATAGCAACCAACTGTATTAACTGGAAGATGAAAATAACAATTTTGCCCACTCTGTAGTAATGAGAGGTAGCTCAGTTTCTTTCTTTGCTTAAAATATGTAAATCTAGAATGTATCAGAAGTGGAAGAGTGATTTTGATCTGGCTTCAGTATATTTTAGTGGTACAACTGAAACACAGTGGAAGAAACAAAATCAGAACAAACATGCTGTGGTAGACTGATGTTGAGGTCTGGTTCTTGTCTGACCACCACAATGTCATTTAGCATTGCCTGGCTTGTCTTCATTCATACACTGCCCATTCTGCTCACAGGATCCTGCTGCACTTCTCTACTCACACAGTAGCTGCCTCTCACGTAAATCAGTACTGAAACATGAGAAAGCAGACACAAGTCAATTCTCCCAAGAAATGCTGTAGTACGTGAAATTCAAGAATTAACAGCTGCAAAAAAGAATTGAAACATCAAAAGAAAGACAGGTAAGAACTTCCAGCTGCAACCTGAACAAGCTCATACTGCTGCCCAGAAGGACCAGGTAGATTGTATTTGCTATTCTACCTAGAATGTCATGGTAGCATGAATTAGCTTCTTTGTCCTTGAAAACAAAATACAGAAAACTGTGCAAGAGTCCATCTGTGCTGATGGGAGGGAAATAATGCTTCCAACAGGTTAATTTGGAAAGCTTTCAACAACATAGACACAAAATTCTAATTTAGAAGGATCAATTATTCGCCATTCTTAAACTCAGCAATTTCTTAATACCTATCACCCGTACCATCTTTTTTTAAGGTGAACTTGGAAAAGAGAACTTTGTCTTCTTCAAGGCATTAATACCAATTAACATTGTGCTGTACATGCATACATTTAATTTTTGTGAGATATTTGCGTATTTTACTCCATCTGTGATACTGATGGGAAACACTAACAACTGATTACCCTGTATTCACATTTTAGTAGGCAGCAGTTTTTGAAGTGCAGGTGAGTTAATTCAGTACATCAAAATGGTGTAAGGGCAGAAATTATGTTTTCATACAGTGGTGTTCAGTCAAAGCTGACTCCAAAAGTGGCATAACTTATGCTATTACATATTCTTAGGCCTCTAGGAGAGGAATTAAATTGTGATTCTCGATGATAATTGTATTTTCTATATTCCTGCAGGATTTGCTAAAATCTTGCAGAATTCTTCCTCCTGAAGAAGAATTTGCTTGTGCAAATTGACTAGAGGCAGCTAGTCATTGCTATAGGCAATCTGTTATCTGTAGAACTTTTTTAAATGTTGCTGATAAATGCTTAAGAAGAGAACCTGTATGATTTTTCAAGTCATTGGACAAAATTTCAGGGGAGAATGTTTTTGTTTGCCCTCTGGTACAGACACCAGATATAAGAACATTGCACTCTGCTGCCTCTGAATTGTGCAAAGTAGAGTGGCTTTAATGTACAAGCCTGAAACACAAAATAGTGCCAGTGACAGTAGTTTTCCTTATCTAAATGCGAAATGGTGTTTCTTTTTGGCATGAAGATAAAATGAGTTTCGCTTGTTTCAGTTTGACACCAGGTTACATTTTGCTTCTCATCTTTCTTCTTCTTTGGTTATAGTTACAAGGAAGGAAATGATAATGAAAGCTTCCTAACCTATGCAGGAGCATTTGTCTGGAATGAAGTGAGCCCTGGCCTCCTGTAATTCAACAGCAAATCTAACTTCCATATCATGTAAAACAATACAAAGCTTTTTGTTCTCTGTATTTAAAATACTGTGGTACTGATTCTGTAAGACTTACAAAATGAGATGAAGATACAGCCTGTATATAACCTATGTCAGAAACAGGCATCACTCATCCATTCCTCATTCTTCTGTACTTCTCTGCTTTAACCATGTGATAAAAAAAGAGACTACCCTGTCAGTGCAATAAACACAATGTCTCTGAAGAGAAGGTGCATTTGACAAGCTGGGAATAAACAACAGTGAATTCTGAGGAGGACACTCATGAATGCCTCAGAATGCCTCAGTCCTAGACCATTCCTAGAATAAGCAATTATCTCCAACTCCTCCTGTAATGCCTTGAACAGCTCAGACTTAAAAAAATTCAACAACAACCAAGCAAACACCCCCAACATTATAACTATTAGAAAAGGGAAGTACTGAAAAAACCAGCTATTTCTGAGGTTTGTTTAATCCAAGAACCAAGTAACTTGTGTAAGATAACTCCTGATGGTAGGAGCCATAATGTAGTGGTGGTAGTAACCATAATGTTACTTTTTTACCTCACTCTCATGCCTTTTATTTTTCACAAGGTGACATTAAACAAGGGATGATACAGACAAAAATCTTGGTCAAAATAAATGTTTGGTTTTTAAGAGAGTAAGAGGATAAAGAAAAGACATTTATTAGCCAACTGCAACAGAGTTAACTGGATACTGGTAATTAGTGTTTAATGCCACCTATAGCAGAATGTTTCCCACTGGGAAAAACATGGGAGGCAAGTCCACTTCGCTCCTTTCAAAGTCACAGGCCAGAGCAGAACATACATCAGCACCCAACAACAAAATCTTTTTATGTATACTCAAGTTTTCACACATCTGCAAAGCAGAAGTAGTAGCAGCCATTTGGATGTTCTTTCTTAATGGTTCTCAGGGGGGGCCTAGGAAACTCAGAAGGACCTGGTTCTTGTGACATGGAGCTGGAGCTGCAGCTGCTGCTTCTGCTGCTGCTTCCAGCCACCTGTGCTCTAGCTCTGTCCTTAGCAGGGGAGAGCTGGGGGGATCCTGGGCTCAGGTACCCAGCTGTGGTCTGAGTAGATGCAGTAGCATGTGTGGTTGGGCCAGTGTTGTTTTTCACATAGACGTTCTTGATAGCAACAAGTGTATGTGCCATGATGCTGATGCTGTTACTCAGATCTTGCATGCCTTGCTGCAGCAACTGAAGATTGTGGTTGACACTGTCAAAGCCAGACTGGATCACCTGTATTTGGGTCTGCTGAATCTGCAGTAGGTCCTCTTCAGTCATTTCATTTTGGTCTGCCTGGGACCTGCCTTTTGTTTTGGCTTTTACTTTCCCAGAGGAACCACCACCTGATGTCCCCAGAAAAGGCAGTTGTTCTTGACTAGGTGGAACTGCTACCATGTCCTCAGAGCTTTCTTCTGGCTCCACCACCTTCACTACTATTTCTTCTTTGAGGTTCATCTGCTCAAGACTGGATTGATGAGATGGGCCAGGACTGCCATTAAACCCTAGAAGAGGGGTGGGGGGGAAGAAGAAAAGCAAAGCAAAGCGCATGAGAAACTTCATAACCTCAGTGGTGACATATTTTCTCCTCCACTAAGCACTAACGTTAGTCCTTGAAACAAGACTTTTAAACTCACTCTATGTAATCTTTGATGGTTTTAGGATACAAATCACCTCAATAGGTGGCATTCACCAGCTGACCATGTATCTGCATACTACAGCTCCCTTACCACCACAGAAGCCAAACTTCAGGAACCCAGAGACAAAGTTCACTGCAAGCTCGTTTCATGCTCTATCGTGCACGCAGTAAACAGCAAGAGCATTGCTGAAACATTGTGATTGCAAGAATCCCTTGGTATTCCAGCATGCTAGGACATTATCTCCAGCACGTACAAAGTTATTGTGCTGGCAGCACTTTGTACTGGCTGGACCTGCGTGCTGCCATGGCTTTTTGCATTTGCAGGAATAATTACTGCAACTGTGAAGATCGGTGGCCGGGTCTAACGCCTCGTGGAAGGGCAGCATCTGCTACAAGACGCGGTTTTTACTCTTGGGTGCTGCTCTCAGGCACTTTTATGACCTAGAACACGAAGCCTCACAGTTCTGTGTGCGTCCATATACGTTTGCCTTTCCAAGGCTCCGAAGCAGAGCCTTCCTGCGGGGCCGGTCCCCGCCGCGCACGCAGCGCCGCTCCCCCGCAGACCGGGGCTGCCGCGGGGGTCGCTCCCGCACTCACCCATGTCCCCCACGACGGCGCCGGGCAGCTCC